TCCCCAAGAGGTGCTCTTGAGGCGTAGACGTTGCCAAGGGGGTGCCGAACCACGTTACGACTCGGTGTTCCTTGTGTTTGCATTCCTCTACCCTTATTGCTGTTTACTTTCAGCTTGTATACATAATTGCTGAACTTTTAATTTGAATCAATATGGTTGAAGAATTCACATAGTTTGGAAAAAGATGCTATTCAACCCCCCTCCCCTCCCCCCGCGGGGGCCCCCCGGGGAGCTCATTATTTGGGCAACAGAGAGGATCCTTGGTGTGGCGAGAGGCCACTAGAGAGTCTTTCCAAGATTGCGGGAGACAGGCATGTGTTGGTCTCCCACTGCTATCATCTTGATGACGGGAGGATGATTTGGGATGTGCACTTTGAGAGGCTTTTGCATGACTGGGAAGTAGAGGATATAGTTGAGTTCTTGGCTATGCTTTATAGCCAAGGTACCTTCAAGGTAGGGATGGATGAGTGGATATGGACGGCTTCGAGCCATGGGAGATTTGGCGTATGGTGTTTCTATTGCCAGCTGATGGATGGTCAGGGGATGTCCTTTCCTTGTAATTTGGTGCTCGAAAGCCCCCCTGAAGGTTGTTTTTTTGGTTGGACAGCAGCTTTGGGGAGGATTTTAACCATTTACAATTTGAGAAGGTCGCATCAGATTCTTGTCAATTGGTGTTGTATGTGCAAGAGGGATGAAGAGACGGTAAATCATCTCATTTGCATTGCCCTGGTGCAAGGGATGGGTGGGATATGTTGTGTACCATCTTTGGGATCCACGAGTAGTTTGATTGATGCTTGGCACGGATGCCAAATGCGTTCCCACATCAGGAATGCACGGACTCACCCCCTCCCTCCCCCCCCCCCCCCCCCCCCCCCCCCTCCTCTCTCTCTCTCTCTCTCTAGTAGGCCTTATGGAGAGCAAGGAATCAGAAATCCTTTGATCGCGTGGAGCTCCCTGGGAGTGTTTATATATATATTTCTCACTTCTCTATTCTTTTAGGTTCACGGCTCTAATTGTAAATCTATAGAGATTCTTTTGGATTTTGTCGATAGCTAGAGGCAATAGTTTTTGTGCAACTTGCTTTGGGACATGTCCCCCTTTTGGACGCTCTTTAATGAATACTTATCAGAAAAAAGACATTGCATCAATAATTTCAATTTTTTCCCCCAATCGCTTTCTTTTGACGAATACGTTTCAAATAACTGATTCGTAAATATTAATATCATAAAGTGATCCATAAAATAATTATAAATTTACAAAACATATACATTTTTTTTATAAGTAAAAGTATTGCATATATCTATATATATATATATATAACTTTGCAACAAACATTTGAACATGGAATACTCATTTCAATTTTTATTATTTTCTTTTTATAAGATTTCATTAAAAGGCGCTCAAGAGGGGAGCATTTCCAAGAAAACACAAATAAAGCCAAAAAACGACCAACTGCAAACTCAAACTATTAACTAAATCCACAAGTTCTGTCACAGATTTACAATTTCGCCCATTTAACTAAAAGAATAAAGAACTCAAAATATTTTAATTGAGAGACCAAATAGGAGTCTGTCTCTTCTCCATCAAAATATCTCCAATATCTCTTACGCCACAAGCCCCGCCATAAACAAAGGGGGGTGGCCCTCCAGAAATCTCAGGCTCATCTCTCCACTATACACCCTCTCCAAGCCTCACTCATGTCCGTTGTGGAGCTAGGAGACACCCAAAACATACCAAAAGCAGCCAAAAATATAGACCAAACATCTCTCGCCATTGGACAATGGTGAAGGAGGTGATTCACTGACTCCTCTGTCTTTTTGCACAAGCAACAACAATTTACCACAATCTGGCACTCCTTTTAAGGTTGTCCAAAGTGAGAATCCTCTTGATAGCAGCTGACCGGGCTTCAATTTCCAGATGAACTTCCAAGGGAAGGACGGACCCGGAATCTCCAAGAAGCTTTGGTTAAAAAAGAAAAAAAAAAAAAAAAAAAAAAAAAAAAGACTCAAAACACTCCTCTCGGGGAGTCCATCCAGACCATCTCATCCATCCCCTAACTATATAACAGAAGACAAGAACTCTACTACATCCGCAAGCTCCCAATCATGGAAATCTCTACGAAACTACACATCCCAAATCATCCTCCCACTATCGAGGCAGTAAAATTTGGCGACCCAGGCATGTCTGTCCATAATGATTCTGAAGAGCCATGGAAAGTGGAAACCTGCGGGCCAAAACCGTGTCCCCACACCATAGGTCCTCCCAAAATCTAACATGTCTCCCACTCCTAACCTTGAAGCGAATGCATTATGAATTACTCATTTCTCTTTTAACTTGGAAAATTTTGTACGTATAATATAATTTACACTAAAACCAACCTCAAAACAAACAAATTGGATCCCTTGGGTGATTAATGAAACTATCGTGACTGCATAAACTAATTTAATAATTAGCAATTATCCCAATAAATAGTTAATATATCATAAACTATGGATTAGTTATATCTCCTGTTGGTAATGAAAAAATTCTGCAAAAATCCTCTAAACTCCAAGCTCAGGAAGAAACGAATGGATCCTTCAAGAAAAATGTTCAATTCTATCTACTAATGTTCTTAAGTGCGTGTGAAATTTAAGCCTCTAATCTGACATGTGCAATAGCCTTGTAAGGCAACACTCATAAAATTCTAGTAGAAAAACTACATAAAGCTTGTATTGGGTTTAAGCCTCTGATCTGACATGTGCATAAAGCTTGTTAGTACTAAACTCTAAAACATCATGAGAACATACTACTGGGTTACATTCTAGGTTTCAAATGATATGATCATTGCATGAATTAGTGAGACCTAATCAAGTGGGTAAAAGACTAAAGACTTAGCTAACCTCAGAACAAGTATAGTACGATTGAACTAATTTAGAAAGGCCATTGATCAGACATGAACACCCAATAAAACCTTCAGAAATCTAGTAATATAATTATATAAATAAAATCACTATGGACAATTCTATCTTTTCGTCTCAAGCGGATTCTGATTTTAGATTAGACTAACAACGTCAAATATGCATGTTCACATATTTATCCTATTCAATGTCAAGAGTACTGCAATTAGTTTCATGTGCTAACCTAGGAAGCACGGACACGTGTCGGACACACCAAAAAACATGTCTGGAATTTTTTTAATTTTCGGACACGGCACGGACACTCCGTGGACACACGTCCGACACGTAGGGGGGGTGTGTCCGACACGCGTGTCTTATTTTCGGGGGTCTAAAAGATAATTTTTGAAAGAAAATTGGGTTAAAGTATAAATATGTGAAGTTATTTAACAACTTTTACTCACTTATGTGGTCAGTACATAATAATTTTAAACTTGTAAGGTTAATATGCAATTTTAGACAAAACAAATAGATATTTAAGGGCAAGTCATTACACTATTACAGTACATGAGTTATGATTTGTGTATTTTTTTCATTATGAGGTTGATGATAAATAGTAACACTCAGTAATTTTTAAAGTACTACATCATATCTATATATCTATATATATATATATATAAAATATATATACTATTCGCCGTGCCTGTGTCCTAATTTTTTTGGATTTTCCGTGTCGCCATGTCCGTGTCGTGTCGTGTCATATCCGTGTCCCGTATCTGTGTCCGTGCTTCTTAGGTGCTAACAGATACATTTCATCCATAAGGAATTAAGAGTGAAATTTGTTAATGATCCATGGCATTAGTGCATTTGTTTCATGCATGTAGCCATATTAGAAAGGCCATTGAGCAGACATGAACACCCAATAAAACCTTCAGAAATCTAGTAATATATATAAAATCACTATTGACAATTCTATCTTTTCTTCTCAAGCAGATTCTGATTTTAGATTAGACTAACAGCGTCAAATATGCATGTTCATATATTTATCCTATTCAATGTCAAGAGTACTGCAACTAGTTCCATGTGCTAACAGATACATTTCATCCATTATGAGTTAAGAGTGAAATTTGTTAATGATCCATGGGATTAGTGCATTTGTTTCATGCATGTAGCCATATTAGAATACCTTCTGATTCTTCAGCAACAAAACTAGTCTACTTTATCAGTTTATCTTATATTGGGAGCCTAACATTGCATTTGTTGATAAGTTACATGGTTTGTGCTCAGTACCCTTATAATTAAGAAAAAGAAAAGGGATGAAAGCATCTACACTTTGCCTTGGCCACAGTCCTTGTTGCATTTTGATGTTACAAATTTGAAACTGTCTGGTTATGTTGGGTACTAATAAGTAATAAAGCCTAAACGTAGATCAGTCCATTCTACAGCTTGAGTGAGTTGTTGAGGTGAAAAGTGACGCATCATACAGAAGAAAAATTCTTACGCGCAAAGGAACTAAATTTATCATCCTAATGGATTTGGTTCGCCAATAGTTAAGAACAAAAACAAAGAGAAAGCATGATTACAATACAAATGCATCCAATTGCCTCCCAGTGTTCTATACAAGACACATCCCTTTCCATTATGTTTAATGATCAGTAATCTATCCTAGGAGCTTGAACAAATAAACATAAAAGATGAATTCCATGTCCCCATGGCCCTCTATCTTAATGTAACGACAAACTACATATTAATCAAAATTTGTACCCTGTACCATAAATTCGAAAAGGAACATTTTAAAGCCAGTACTTCAAAGAAAATACATCATTTACAAAGCATATTTCTAGCTCCTTCAAATCCAGTTCACACATTGCTCATCAGCAAATTGCATGAAAAAAACTCTCCCTTTCCACAACAACTAAGACTGGCACAATTGCAAGAATAACTCCTATGATAGCAAAATCTCAGAAGGAGAAGTATATCAGTGAATACTAGTAATCACTCAGTCATAAGCTCCCAAATGGTCATATATCGATCATGGATATATATGTACTCATAAAAATGTATGCAAGAATCTACAAAAATAAGAGAATTGACATGATATAAAGATATTTATGCCTAAAAACTTACATCTTGTTGACAATCCTTTGTCGCGAATCTGCTTGTAGCTGAGTCCTCCAATCGCCTGCATCCATCAGTGGTTCACCACCTTGTGCAGGCCCCCAGTTATTGGTTTCCATAACCACCTGATCTAGTAACAACCAAATAATCACAATTTCCCTTCAAATTCACCTCAAATACCAACAAAATTAACTCTTCTTTCAATATTAATCTCATATATATATATATGACTTGAAGACGAACCAGATTAACAAAAGAAATAGAAAACCCAGATGCTAAATCGCCAGCAACGACGCGATTTAGAGAAGACTATGGTAGAGAAGTTTTTTCAGTCTTTTCTTCTACAAATTTATCAGATTGAGACAAAACCACTAACCCACACAAAGAATATGTTAATATTTATTTATTTATTCCCGTCAATACTTTGAAAAGCATGTACACTCAACATTGGTTGATTGACGAAATTAACAAAACCATTGTTAGAAAGCAAGTACAGATTAGGCTCTCGTAATGGCCAACCGTCCATCTGTAGTTGGTCCGGACAGGGTTGGACCAGTCTGCAGGGCCGGCCCTGAGATTTCAAATATTTTGAGAGGCCCTAGGCAAACTTTCAAATATGAGGCCCTTAAGTTTCACACGCGCAAAAAAAATTATAGGAGAGCGGAATTTTCACACGATGTTTTCAAATTCTATAGCTAATTTAATTGTACGCATGTGTATTGTGCATAAGACAACTAACTAATAACTATAATCTTCATTCATTAAATCTTCATGTTCATTGACTAACTTCCTATGATCTTCATTCATTAAATCTTCATGTTTATTGAGATTTTCTTCATTTGCTTTCGCATTCATATGTTCTACATTCACCAAATCTTCAATTAAACTCTCTATTTGTGTATTGCTCCTAAAAGACTTAAGATTATCTTCTTTTTGAGATTGAATCAATTCTTCTTCTCTTCTTCTTTTCTTCTTTTTTTCCCTTTTTTCATGCCCAGATTCAAATTTTCTTGTAGACAAAATCAAATCTCTTAAAATCTAAATAAGAGGAACCATAATCAACATAAAACTAGACTTCAAAAAAATAATAATAATAATTTGCTTTGTTTAAAGAAAATATAGATTACCTCAATATGCAATGATTTGATTCAAGTTCAAGGCAAATAACCTCACGAGATCCTAAGAAGAGTGTCCTGCTAGCATGTGAATAAAGATCACAATTAACATAAAACGGATGGAGAATCAAACAGAAACAATAATAACTAAGCATTGCTGATCATACAATAAATATAATTAAAAAAAAAAATCTCAAATCAAGCAGTTTGGTTGAATGATCTCCTGGCTGGAGTTTTCACTGGAATCTGGAGGAGAGGAGAGAAGTCAAAACAGAGTATCCAAAATACAGTCCAAAAGTGGAAATGAGGAACAGAAAACTGCAGCTTCTTTTTTACATTCATTGTTTATATAGCTGCTAAAATTTGATGACTACAGATGACAAAAATATGTAGAGATGAGTTGACTATATATATATAGGAGGCTGAACTTGTAGTGCTGAAGAAGTAGTGGGACTTTTAGGTTATACGTGGCATCCACTATCATATATAGTTTTGTCTTTCACTCTTTATATTAACAACACTTTGTGTGTGTGTTTTTTGGGAGCCAATTACCCCTTTCTTGATTTCAGGATGAGGAATCAACTTTAGTAGCAGTGATTGATTGATCATTGCTACAGATGACCTGTGCAAATTAATAAAACAAACCATTAACTTTTGTTTTGTTAAGGCCTGCTCTTGATTTCCATGTGTTTGTACATTCTGATGGCAAGTGCTTTGACAGTATTATTAACTGAAATTCTAGCTGAGCCAACTTCAAATAACATCAATAATGGTGGTATGTATCTTCATATAAAAATAAAATATAAAAAAACCCTTAATTTGGCACTTTGAAGTATGAGCATAATTTAGAGATCGAAAAAGTTAATTATTACCTCAACGGCTCAACCCAGAAGGGATCCTTAATTTTCGTAGGATTGAATGTGTAAAATGCAAAAACTTATGAGGAAAAGGGGTATGATTGCTGCTGTTGTGAGATTGGAGTGGAATTAGGGAGAGGAAAAAAAAAAAAAAGTGCCTGCCATAGATTATGGACTCGATCGCCATGAAAGACACATGTAGAAAGGCACACATTTATTAAAATACTAAGAGAACCATAATATATTCATTCAGCTTTTGATAGCCATCACACACAGTGGCACACACACACAAAACCCTAGTTTGGAAGCTACTTTTCACTATTGGAACAAAGGTAAAGGCCCGAATCAAACGAACCAAAGTTAGAACAAATCAAATGATGAGATGAACGAAAGAAAGAAACATTTATAAAAGATCGATTCATGCAAAAGGAGAGAGAAGAGAGAAAGAGGATGAACATACCTTGTCACCTGAGGCGATAGCGGGGCTGCGTCCTGCGCAGTGTCGAAGCAGATTGTGCCGTCTGAAACTTGCTAGTTGGCACTCCGTTTTTTTTTTTTTTTTACATCCCTATGGGCCTCAAAATTTGAGGCCCAAGGCGACCAAGACATGTCCTAACTTTAAATTTTTTTTTTTCATCCTCTATGGGCCTCAAAATTTTGAGGCCCTCTAAAATTTGACGCCCAAGGCGACGGCCTTGGTCGCCTTGGGCCAGGGCCGGCCCTGCCAGTCTGACTGAACCGGGAAACAAATCAAGAAGAAGAAGCTGTGATGCGAAAATTTAATTCAGAAAAACAATTCATTTGATTAAAAATACAACCTTGGATTTGAAATTAGAAAATTTCACTTAGAGATTGAATTGAGCCCAAAAACAAATTTCTCCAAAATACAGATAACAAGAGGATGAGACAATCGAGCACAGAAGATCTTAAATTTAATCCTCTTGTGTATATATATATATGTATGTATAGTGAGAGTGAAGCTCAAAAAATTAGGAAAATGGAAACTAACGGAGGACGTTGTTGTAGATCCAGACAATACCTGATGCATATTCCCAGACAATATCTGATGTATATTCCGAGGCTTTCTATTTTTACCAAGAGCCGGCAAGAGGTTTGAATTTAATGTCAATCACCTAGTGCTATATTCCATTAAGACCAGATAAAATTAAGGGAGGTTAGGCCCTTTCGTATGCGTTATGTTCTCGGGCGTCTTGTTTTAACTTGGAACAGAACAAATATTTTGTAATGAAATGTTCTGAGATGAAAACAAAATATATTTGACGACAAAAAATTGCAGTGAAAATTTTAAAACAGAGACATGATAAAATATGTTTGACAAGATTGTAAGATTATTTATTTAATTGTGGCTCACATGATTTGGACATGTGACATATTACTTGGTGGCTAAGTAAATAGATATCAATTAATATTATTTATTTTTGGTCAACTTATAATTACCTTTTTGGTAATTATTTATTGAAGAAGTGTTTTCCTTACTTATTTCTTACTTTGATGGAAAGTAAAATTATGTTACTAAAAGAAAAACTGATCCTCTCTTTGCCTTTATAAAAGTGCATATATTCCATCAATTATGTACGATTAATGATACAACACATAAAAGTTTTATGTGTGCAAAAGGCCAAGAGAGAGAAACCAGTTTCTACCTTTGCCTGCTGATCAGAGTTGCAGATTAATTCGTGGTTAGAGAATCTAGACGTTGGATTTAATCTCAACAAAGTTTGATATCTGAATCGAGGTATTTATATCTAACCATTTATTTATGCATTATAGATATGTGAAAATCATGAAGTTCTAAGATATGGGATTCATGTAAATTTGTGATTAATGACTTAACACGAATTATTAAAGTTTACATGTGGTATCAGAGCTTATGGTTTAGGAACTCGTTATTTTCCACTAAAGTTTGCATAAATAATATATATAAATTTAAATTAAACTTAAATAATTAAATTTGTTGATCAAAATCGTGGCTATGATTGTATAATGTCTAATTAGTCTCTAGAGTATGTTTTTGATTAGTTTGTTTACCAAAGAATTTATTTTGGTTTCCTACCTTGATTTCCGCCCTGTATATATGACTTGAAAGTTACTATATACATGTAAGCATATGTATATATAACTTTATTGGTTTGCATGATTAAATAGATGTTTCTTGACACATCACTTCTCTAGCATGTATATTTTACTCCCAAAAATTTTCTAGACCTACTTGTGTGGTGGATATATATATATATATATATATATATATATATATATATATATATATATATATATATATATATATATTTGTTTTATATATATAGTGATAATTGATGAATGAGAAGCATGTCACTGTATATGAGTATTTTAAACAGATTATTAAATACATAATGTACATGATTTATTTATTTTAGCAATTTGAATTTCTAGAATAATTTGTGAGTTTAGAAATTTAATCTAATATTATTAGACATGCAAATAACTTGTTGTTTTATACCCAAACATACATACATGATGGAGAGTCGATTTTAGATTGATTCAATTATGATCTTTAAGTCCGAAAATAAAATAATATGTTTTATTATGTATATAAAATAAAAAGATATTTTCTATGAAATTTCGGATTATTAAGTTTTTGAGATCGAAGTTGGTTAAACTTCAATCGACAATTATGAGTATGTGTGTATAATGTTAAACGGGTAAATTAATGATTAATTAGTTACTAATTAATTTAATATTCATATTATGTGATGGTTAGTAGTTACCAAAGTGGTATAACCATAATGGTCGATGAATATTAATTTTAGTAGTAAATATAATTAATCTCTGTCTAATTTAATATTCATATTATGTGAAGATTGGTAGTTACCAAAGTGGCCCAATTATAATGATTGATAAATATTAATTTTTGTAGTAGACATAATTAATCATAAATTAGTTACTATCTAATTTAATATTCATATTATGTAAAGGTTGGTAGCTACCAAAGTGACCTAACTATAATAGTTGATGAATATTAATTTTAGTAGTAAACATAATTACAATATTTCATGAATTATGATGCTTATTATTTTTTGTGATATTTATGAATATTGAATTTATTTAATTATGAAAAATAATTCTCCAAAGGGAATTGATTTTCAATTGATTAAATGAATATTAAGGGATTGCATGTATTTTTTAATTAGGTAGATATAGGATATCTAAAGGTAACTTATTTGTTTAATTAAATAATACATTGCCAATGAAGATATACATATAAATATAAATAAGCATCATTATTAGTATTTTATAGTTACCACCCAAAGGGGTACTATAGTTATACATTGTATTTATATTTTTAAGTTATATATAAACGTGTTGTTAACTCAAAGCATTATTGTTGTGAGTATTTTATCTTAATGTGCATGCTACATCTGTTCTGATTTTCAATATGACTAACTTCTCATAATGGAATGAGTAAGTTGAGTTCAAAATTTAGATGTATTAAATCTTGATTTAGCATTTTAAATTGAGAAACCTACTATTATTACTCATGAAGACAGTGAGGGAGAAAAGATTCTCCATAAAATTTGGGAGAGATCGAACAGATTAAGCATTATAGTTATGTGAATAATTGTTTCCCATAGTGATAGTGCTAAGGAATATTTTGACTAGAAGAATGTTTTCGTATTGTAGATAAATATCTAAAACGAAAATTATTAATTTATATCACTACTATTCAATTTTGTTGGTACTCTTACCATGTATGGGTATGTTTTCTTTTAGATAACTAATGTTGCTGCAAAATTGAGAACCTTATGGATGATTGTAAATGAGAATTTTCTTATTCAATTTATTCTCAATTTCTTGTCTATTCAGTATGAATCATTTCGAATTAACACTATTAAGACAAGTGGAAGTGAATGAATTGACTATTATGTTAATTTAGGAGGAGACAAGGCTTAAGTTGCAAGTAATCATTATGCTCATCTCATGACTCGAGAAGTTAGAAAGAAATTTGGGGATAAGCCTAAAAGGGTATTAAGTGAGCAACCCTCAAAATTAAAAGATTTAGGTTAATCTACTAAAATAAAGGAATGTAATAATGAAAAAAGTGTCATTAATGTATTGAACACTTTTAGAAAGATTACATAAAATATAAAGAATGATTCGAAAAAGAATGGTAAGCTTTTCGTTTTTGTATATTTCGAATTACTTTTTGAAATTATTTTTAATACATTATAGGTTGACTTAAGTACTAATGTTTATGTTTCTAATAGATGCAAGAATTTCTTATGGCCTAAACCACAAATTCAAATAATAATTTCTTATTTATGACAATTGGGAAAAAGTTTTGTTGAAATCATTGTGACATTATGTTTAATGTTAGACAGTGGATTTTATTTAAATTATTTTAAACTTTTTATGTTTATTCAATTTCCTATAATTTAATTTTTATGTTAATGGTTTTTCATTTAAATTTGATAACAATGTTTATTCAAGAAATTCTAATTTGTGAGTTATGGTATTATTGTTGATGATTTCTGTAAATTCAAATTTGGTAGTTTATTTATTAAAAAAAACATTTTGATATTACATCATAATGTTAGAATTAAGCATAACTCAATTAATAGAAAATTAATCTTTCTTGTAGCATAAAAGACTAGGTCAATATCTAGTGAAATGTTAGGAAAATTAGTAAAGGATGTGATTCTTCTGAATCTAAACTTTACTAATTTTGGTGTGTGTGTGTGTGGATTGTATTAAGGGTAAACAAACCAAACATACAAAGAATGAGCCATAATAAATAAATAGCGTCTTGAAATTATTCATACAGATATTTGTAAACCTTTTGATGTTCCATCTTTTGGAGGAGAAAATTATCACCTTTATAGTTGATTTTTCACATTATGGATATATCTATTTGTTGTATGAAAAATCTCAAGCAGTGGGTACTCTTGAAGTATATATAAATGAGGTTGAAAAACAATTAGATAGAAAAATAAAAATCATAAGGTCATATAGAGGTGATAAATATTATGGAAAGTATGATGAAACGGGTTAATACTCTAACTGTTGTTGAACTCCTTGAAATATATGGCATATGTGCTCAATACACTTTGCTATAAATGCCACAGCAAAAGCGTGTAGCTGTAAGGCGTAATCGTACTCTTATGGAATTGGTTAGGAATATGTTAAGTAATTCCCCGTTACCCATAATGTTGTGGATATTAAGTAATCTAAAGGGTATAAATTTTGCTATCCTAAATATAGTACGATAATTATTGAAACCGGTAAGACAGATTCATTAAGAATGGTGAAATCAGTAGGAGTGATAAAAATAAGAATTTGATCATTTCAGAAGTTAGGGTACAAATCTCTTTACCCATAACTTCTAAGGAAATAATTGTTTCTTCAGTTGTTGAACCGTATAACAACGAAGAACAATTGAATGATCAACAACTCTATAATGAGATTGTCATCAATGAATAGATTGTAGAAGGTTAGTGGGAGTAAGTTTATATTTCTGATTCTATATATTGATGATATTTTATTTACT